TTGGTTTTTCTGCTGTGCTATTAGAGTGATCCGCCACTTAGAGTCTAATCCTCCATGGCTCTGTGCCTATTTGTCAGGAACTTTGAGAATATATTAAGACATTATACAGGGTGTAAGCTGTATTTTGACAATGATTATGCCTATTATCTATTTTAATAAATGTAAATTGCTGTGGAGAAACAAACCATTTTATGCCACTTGAATCCTTTTCAGGGAAGCCTGAATCCTTTTTTCATAGCTTAGATGTATTACTGTCATTTTCCCTTCACAGAGTTGAATAAACACACTTAAATCAGACCTCTGTTGGTGCACCCTCTTGTACTGTTGCCCTAATAGATTGTTGTGATTTTAGTCTTTGCAGTCCACATTTAGTAACATTTGCAAAATCATCTGTGGTCCTTTCCAGAATTGAAACTATTGGGTAAACTCAGCAGTAAGTCAACATGTGGATTATACATGCCACGCACTATACTTTATACTTGAGGTACAGCCGTGAATAAGGACTAGTGATGCCTTTAAGAAGCTTAGAATCATTGCCCACTGTTGGAGTGGGAATTTACAGATAAACAAGGGCAGGTCAGAGTGGTCCATCTGGTAATGAGTTCGAGTTGGAGACATCAGAAAGAACTCTCGTTTAACTATATAGACATGCATGATTACACAGAAGTATTGATAATTGTGTGTTTATATGTATGTGTGTGCGCGTTTGTATACTTACATGTATTTCTTTCTGTGTCAGCTGAGAGAACCTGAAAGAAACGACACCCCAGTAGCAACAGGCACACCTAGCACCCAGATCTTGATTTCTAAAACCATTCTCCAATAAAAGGGATCAGAAATCCTTGGAGAAATATCTGATTTGGGGACTGTGGAAGGCAGTATATGTTATGAGGTCAGAGGCTCTTACAGTGCCAAAACAAGGAAGTGCTCAAAAAAGAGAAAGAAAAAAAAAGACCTACATTGATGGGAGTATGTCATAGGGACACAGGAGCCAACTGAAAGAGTTCTCAGTGGCTCAAATGGAATAATTTGAGCAAAAAAATAAAGTGGTATTGGATTATATCTCAAGGCATTAAATAAATACCCATGAATCCATACTGATATAAATAAATGACACAACAAATTAGTATATGGGAGGGAAGAGAAGACTCTCCCACATAGAATGCCAGATAAATGATGAAGATGACCTAGCCTCAAGGGGCATAGCAAATGAGCATAGTTTCCCACTCCTTCAGTGTGAGCTGCTCATAAAGGCTTCTTCCTAAAGAGTAAAGATGAGGGAAAAGGGCAGGGGAGGGGCAGGAAGAGTAACTTTGCAGGGGAGAAACCTGACAAACATTACCTCAGCTAGTGATCAAGGTCCCTGTGAACAGTCTAAGTCATGCTGATAGTGGGCACCCTTGAGAGGATGTGATGGAAATGGCACTCCACCTCTGTGGTCTTCGATCAGGAGAAAAACATCAGACAAGTTCAAATAGAGGAGTGTCCTACAGTCTACCTGATCGCAGTCCTCAAAACTGTGAAAAACTGCCCCAATGAAAGGAGCCTAAGGAAATGGGACAATTAAGTGTGACATAGTATCCCACAGGGGTCCTCAAGCAGAAAAAGGACATTAGGTAAAAACTGAGGAAATACGAATTAAAGTATAGACTTTTGGTAATAATAATTTATCAGTATTGGCTCATTAATGATAACAAATGTACTACAGTAATATAAGCTTTTTATAGTAGGGAAAACTCTGCAAGATGTATTTGGGAGTTCACTGTGCTATTTAATTTTTCTGTAAATCTAAAGCTGTTTATAAAAATTAAAGAATCAGAAGCTTGTAGTGTAATAAGGGAAGCCAGTAAGCTAGTAGGCAATTGTAATACAAGTATAATGAAGGAGGGTGTATAGATTGAGAGAAGTAACGGGACATCTGACGGGTCCTTGGGATCCTGATTTGACCACTTTGGGCAGTTTACTTGACCCTTCTCATATGTTTCCTCATCTCTAAAATGGTGATGAAACCTGGCCTGAGTCAACAGAGACTATGAAGTCAAACTACAGGAGCGCAAATCCCCAGCAACAGAGCCGGGTGATACAGAAAACCTAGCTGGGCTTTATTTGCTCATCAGTAAATAGAATAATAATAGTACCTATCTCAGAGAGTTGTCCTCAGTCTGGGGTAATACTGTGAAGTGCTTAGAACAAGTGCTGGCAGGCTGCGCTAGATATATGTCAGCTTCTACTGCTGCTATAGTTCACAGGTCTATGGTGAAGATGCAGTGGGGTAATCATGAGAGTGCCTGCATGCGCCTACCATGTCAAACCCTCCATCACTGGTGGTGGTGGTGGTGGTGGCGGTAGCGGCGGCGGCAAGAAAAAGTTCCTGGAGGCCAGGAGATGCCCTTGCCTTGAATCTTACACACCAGACACAGAGGTCTTCTCTAACTCTAAACTGAGCACAGGATTGGAGTTGACGAGATAAAAGGTTGATGGGTGTTGGCTCTAGCAGAAGGAGCAAAGATCCAAAAGTTGAAGGAAGCATGGCACCTTTACAGAACTTTATAGTGTTGGGAAGGGCTAGAGGGTGGAGTCAAGGAGGGAGGAAGAGGAGAGGTAAATAGGAGGGAGGAAGAGGAGAGGGAGGAAGAGGAAAGGTAAATATTTCCCAGCATTATGTCAGGAATTGAAGACTGGATTAAGGATTTGGACTTTATCCTGAGGTCAATATAAAATTTGTACTCTTATGATCACGGTTATGTGAAAAAAAAATCAGTCAGAAAACCAGTTAGGAAGCTATTTCAGTTGTACAGGTGAGAGATCATGGTAGTGACTATCAAAGGAGAGTGAAAGAGTTGGAAGGCCAACAACAGGGCAAGAACTATTTGAACAATTCAGTGAAAATTTTTCTGCCTTTGAGTCAGATGTATTACAGAGTATGATGCCTGGAAAATTTCCTAATGCCTACATACGATTTTTTTTAAAAAGTAGGATAACATTAAGAATTTTAGGCGTGACTTTGAAACATCTACATATTTTTCACCCCTAATACATACCATGGTAGATAATTTTTTAAAAAGTCACAAGCATAGCCAATCAGATTAACTCTGAAGTGCCCTAGACTAGCATCATCCAATAGAAATATAATACAAACCACATATGTAATTTTCATTTTCTAATAGCCACATTTAAAAAATAAAGAAAACAGGTGAAATTAATTTTAATAACCTATTTTATTTACCAGTGTTACCAATGTTTTATTTGCCAACTGAAAAATTGTCATTGCCACATGATACGATCAAGATAAAAATTATGAATTAGATGTTTTATGTTCTTTTTCTTATCTTGTCTTCAAAGCATGTTTGGCATGCACAGTTCAGACTGGCCTCATTTTAAGTGTGCAGTAGTCACATGTGGCTAGTGGCTAACCATATTGGATAGCTCAGATCTAGAACTTGCAACTCCTAATCAGAAAATCTTTTTACCTTTATGCTTACTGGCAAAATTTCTGCAGACAAGTTAATATTTCTGCCTTAATATGTGCACATGGGGTACAGACTTGACCACATGTATTCAAATTGCCTCTTTCTTTCACTCAGTAAGTAGTTACCTAATGCCCACTGTATGGTATTGCAGCATCTCCTCTCTGAGTGCTGGTTTACACACTGCAGTTCTCGTTTTGAGCTGACCCCACCTGGTTCCTATCCATCATGAAGTTTACCATGTTGTCGGGGAGAAAGGCAAAAACAAAACAAAATCCAGTAAGTGAGGTAATCATAAATTATGCTGTGATGAAAACAAATGACTTTTGCTTTTACTTCTTTTGCCTTAGGGGACAGATCCAAAAAGCACTCTTTGATTTATGTCAAAGAGTGTTCTGCACATGTTTTCTTTTGGGAGTTTAAAGGTTTCAGGTCCTACATTTATGTCTTTAATTCGTTTTGAGTTTATTTTTGTGTATAGTGTGAAGAAATGTTCTAACCTCATTGTTTTATGTGTAGCTGTCCAGTTTTCCCATCACCACTTATTGAAGAGATTATCTTTTCTCTATTATGTATTCTTTCCTCTTTTGTTGTAGATTAATTTGCCATAGGTGTGTGAATTTATTTCTGGGCGCTCTATTTTGTTCTGTTGATCCATATGTCTGTTTTTGTGCCAGTGCCTTGCTGTTTTGATTACCATAGCTATGCAGTATGGTCTGAAGTCAGGGAGTATGATTCCTCCAGCTTTGTTTTTTGTTTTGTTTTGTTTTCCTCTCAATATTACTTTGGCAATTCAGGGTCTTTCGTGGTTCCACATGAATTTTAGGATTATTTGCTCTAGCTCTGTGGAAAAGTGTCATGGGTATTTTGACAGAGATTTCATTAAACCTGTTGATTGCTTCAGGTAGTATGGACATTTTAACTTCAAAGCTTTTGCACAGTAAAGGAAACCATCAACAAAATGAAAAGACAAACTACTGAATGGGAGAAGATACTTGCAGATTATATGACCAATAAGAGGTTAATATCCAAGATATATAAACAGCTTATACAAATCAATATCAGAAAAACAACCCAATTAAAAAATGGGCAGAAGACCTGACTACACATTTTTCTAAGAAGACATACACATGGCCAACAGGCACATGTAAAGATGCTCATTGTTGCTAACCATCAGAGAAATGCAAATCAAAACCACAATGATGTCTCACCTCACACCTCTCAGAATGGCTATCCTCCAAAAGGCCATAAATAACAAAAACTGTTGAGGATGTAAAGGAAACTCCTGTACACTGTGGTGGGAATGTAAATTAGTGCAGCCACTGTAGTAAACACTGTGGAAATTCCTCAAAAAATTAAAAGTAGAACTGCCATATGACCCAACAATTCCACTCCTGGAATTTCCAAAGAACTTGAAAACAATTATTTCAAAAGATGCATGTACCCTGATAAGCAACCTAAGTGCCCATCAATAGATGAATGGATAAAGATGGAGTGTGTGTGTGGTGGGGGGAGGTGTATGTGTATACACATACACAATGGACTATGACTCAGCCATAAATAATAATGAAATTCTATCATTTGCAACAATGTGGATGGACCTAGAGAGTACTATGCTTAGTGAATTAAGTCAGATAGACAAATACTGTGATATCACTTATATGTGGAACCTAAAAAATAAAACAAATGTATGTAACAAAACAGAAACATACTCACAGATATGGAGAAGTTTAATGGTTACCAATGGGGAGAGGAAAGTTGGGGGAGGCAAGATAGCAGTCTGGGATTAAGAGGTAAAAAATACTAGGTGTAAAATAAATAAGCAACAAGAAGATGTTGTACCCCACAGAGAAATATAGCCATTATTTTGTAATAGTTTTGAATGAAGTATAATCTCTAAAAATATTAAATCACTATGTAGTACATATGGGGACTAATATAATATTGTAAATCAACTTTACTTCAGTGAAAATAAATAAGTAAATAGAAAAAGAAGAAGAAAAAAAAAGGAAAACAAATGAGAGAGACTGAGATACTGGGTACCCATGGTGGAATGGCTTTAAATAATCTCAGTTGAGTTGACCTAAGCTGAGAAATAAAGGATGAAAATGAATCAGCCACACAAAAAATTGGGGAGAGTAGATTAAGTAGAGGAAACAGCATGTGCAAGAGCCCTAAGGCTCTTGAAGGAATCCTGAGAAAATGGGTATGGCTGAACATTGTTGAAGGGAGGAGAGAGGGTCATGAAATGACTCTGCAGAGGTGGTCAGAGGCCAAGTCTTCTGGGACTTAATAAATCATAGTGAGGAGCTGGAATATTATTCTAAGTGCTCTGAAATCGAAAGGATCTTAGGTGAAAGGACTTGCTGATTACAAAGACTGACCTAACCTCAGATCACTGTGTAGGCAAACGGTAAAATTTCAGTTAAGTGAAAGATGGAAGAAAATTTGTTCTCTGTACCTCACAATGTTACTAATGAGAGAAAGATGGAATTAGATATGTAGAAGTTTTATGGAGGCTATATGATGGTTTATAGATGCAAAGTGATGAAAAGAAAGACATATAGGAGCTAAATCCAGCTGGCTTTGTTGGGCTTTCCTTTGCAATGGAATTGCGTTTTTCAATGTCCAGGGTACTTCGTGAATGGCATCTCAATTTGTTTTACCAAAAATTAAGTTGCACAGAGTGGAGCTAGGCAGGTAAGTCTTCCTCTCTGTGATTTCTGGATTTATAGATACATGGTTGGCTATTCCTAAAATGAATGCTTGCAGACGCATAGTGACATCTTGGTGAGGGTCCTGCCAAAAGTTTGTTAGTGTGGATGAAAGAGGAGCAAGAATCCAAAGATGCCAGGGAAGAATATGGCCTTTTATTTGTCTGGCATTTGGGAATATTTTAATATTATTTTTCAAATCCTTATCTCATGGTCATGATGATTCTGTAAAATAAATGAAACAGGCAGAACTATCTCCAAATCATAAAAGAGTAAGCAGAGGCTTTGAGAAGTGGAGTGTTACATGGTCAGTCGTGGTTAAAATGGACAATGAGATTTTATCTTCTAACTTGTGCTTTTTTGTCTTATGAGACAACTCCAGTGACTTCTCTGACCTTCCAATCCAATATAATGCCCCCTTTTCAGGAATGCATGAAATAGGATCTGGGGTCATTGGGACTCCATTTCCCTTGGGACTGTTTAAAACCTCATCCGCTGTACTCTAGCCCTGCTCAGGGAAGGGGGGCAGTTTCATAATCTCTCTTATGATAAAGCAGTTTGATTACAAGCCTCAAAGTAACTGGGTTTATGTACTTCTCTGGGAACAGTCCTCAGTACACTACCAAGTGTCATTAAATAGCTAATAAAAATGATGGATTCAAGACCCATCTTGGTCATTATTCACGGAGTCTGACACCTGGGTAACTTTTAAACATTAAGGACAGAAAAAAAAACTTGCACTTAAAAATTATTTTGATCTAATTTGCTGATTGAGAATCTAGGAGCCAAACTTGCCAACAGTTAGTACTTGATTGTTATTAGCAGATGAGAAACACTGACATGTTTTTTTCCTTCTCTTTGACTTATGGTTGGAGCGTAGCCATTTGGAAACGATATAAATAGAAATTTGACCCTAGTATATTTAAAGTACAGGTTCGTAAACTTTCTGGGAGGAGTGGAGTCAGGAGGCCTTATGAAGCCCTTTGAAAATCTGATGAAAATTTGATGAAATCTAAGGTTATCCACAGGGACAAAAAATGCTTTTAAAAAAGCCGTAAACTTACCATAGGCCATATAGTTTCAGAGAGATCATAGGTTCCCATGAAGTTCATCCCTCAGTGGCTGATCAAGCATTTCTAATCTACAAGATGAAAGAAATTTGAGGTGAATACATATGCATAGCATAACTGAGGCATGGATGTGAGGTAGTTCAAGGGGCCGATAATGTTTCCCATGTGAGAAATGAGAGTGGTGGTTCTGGCTTCAGAATGACGTGGCCCAGAAACATGGATGAAGCCCCATCATCTCAAAGGGCTCACCTTGAAGTCTGTCCAGTCCAAATAGGATTTAGAATTCTAAGAGCTTTCTAACATCAAACCCCTTCCTTCCTTCCCTGATCTGATTCCATTTCTGGCCAGTAGGAGGGGCAGCCCTAGCTGCCCGTGTTGTGACTACCTCTCGCCCACAGGAAAGTTTGGGAGGTAGGAGTGGGGATTTCTCACAATTTGAAAATACAAAGAGTGCATTTAACCTGGGCTTTTCTTTTTCCTTTTTGGGGGGGGGGGTGGGGGTAGGGAGTAGGGGAAAGCAGGTGAGCGGAAACAGAGCCAGTTGGAAAGAGTATACTTCTGAAAATACTGCAATGATACCTAACGTCTTACCCAAGAGTAGCTAATGCTGCTGCCCTTTGGATGAGATGGAACCAGGTAGAATTTGTACTAGTGAGTAATTAAGGAGGAGAGAGAACTCCGTGTGTTCAGAAAAAGGTGTTGTTGCACCTAGCTTCTGCTTTGAGTTTCGGTGCATTCAATTTTTATGTACAGGGAGGATAGAAGACCTTGACTAATCCTCCCTAGTCTTCGAAAATCTCAGTTCAAATCACACTTTTTTTCCCCAAAGTCCTCCTTGACTAAGTTCTCTCTTCTGAACTCCTGTATTAGAGATTCTAATTCATAATTTAATGCTAATGAAACAGAATATTGGCCGCTATTATTTAATGCATGTTTGTCTTCTTTTCCTGCTTGTAGTCTCCCTGAGGGTGGATATATTACATCTCTCCCACTAGAGAGTAAGCTTCATCAGGTCAGGGACACATCTGGTTCTTTTATGACTCTAATTCCATTACAATGTCTTGCATATTATAGGCCATCAAAAGATAATTTTGAATGAGCAGTTCTAATATTCCAGCCTCATTTCTAGCTCTGGTTTCTATGCTACATATACCATATTTACTGGTAGTTGAAGAGAAAGGCAATTTGTTTTTCGTTTGCATAAAACAAGTCTGAAGGACTATTTGAAGTGGTAGAATCTGAGACTAATTTTTGAATTCTGACTGTCATGGTTGATGAACCTCCCAAAATACGTGGGGTATTTGGGTAGTGTCTAGGTTTCATGAAACTTTCTGTTGGTTTTAATTTTTGGTTATGTCCTAGAGCTGTACTTTTAAATCACAAGTTGACTCAAAGGAGAGATTAATTTGGTTATTCTAAAAACAAAGAAAAGAAACTAAGATTTGTCAAGCAACAACTTTACCTAAGCACTGAGCTGAATAATTTTACATCTGTTATCTCAGGTAACTGTCAAAAGAACCCTGCAAATAGTAATGCATTTTCTTCTTTTAGATGAAGAAAGCATTTCAGAGAGGTAAATAATTTACTTAGACATTAAGTAAGTTGTGTGAGAGCTGAGTGTCTGGTCCAGAGGAATCATTCAACTAAATGTTGAATAAAATTTATCCAAGAGTTCTCAATCGGGCAGCCATGGATCCAGTCTGAGTTTGAACCCAAAGCTGTTGGTAGTCGAAGCCCATCCTCTTTCCACTGCTGACTCTCCTCTAAATAGAAGTTAGAAATTCTTGTAGAGAAAAAACAGAATCAACATGATCAGCTTTTCATTTGAGCTCTTTTCTCTTTCAACTCAGGCTCCATAAGACTCAAGTATTCAACATTTGGCCCCAAATATCATTTTCCTCTGTCTGTGCTTTTTGCCCAGAGATGATGCTAAAGATAAACTTGATTTCCTGGCAACAACTCCGCCAGGAACTGGGAGCTGTTAGAACACAGTCTTCCTGATACCCTAAGGAAGCAAAAATAAACACTTGGAAAGAAGGGTGAATAAAATTGCTGAAACGGCGACACCATTGGCATCTTAGTCTTGTCTCCTCCTCTTCACAGGGTAAGGGGTTAGTGGCTGTCCAAACATTGCCAAGAGGTCAGCAAGTTAGAATTTTATCATGTTTCATTGTTCCGGTCTGCAGTCTTGTTTTTAATAGAATCCTGGCTCTCCGGGTTGCCGATGACTGTATCACATGGTCAGCAGATTTAAAAGCCTTTTCCTAAGCTATAGTAAAAAGGAGAAGATACTAAATTTTACGGGGGCAAACTCTAGTTCTTACACTTACTCCCAGCTGACACAAATAAGTGATTTTTAATTTTTTAGAAATTGAATCTACATTTTAGGACTCAATTTGAATCTATGCTTTTTAAATTCAAGTGCTGCATAAAAAACAATAAAATTGCTTTTCTGCCACCCCCACTGGCATGGAAGAGATGAGGTGAGCGATATCTGTCTGAAGAAGAGTATTGTATAGGGCCCTGGTAGAACCAGCTCCTAACTAATTAGAAGTTATACAGAGGGAGACTGGAGATCAGTATGTGCAGCAATCTTCTGGTGTTCAGCCTATCAAAGAGCGCAAGGGACGGGCTTGGGAGATGGTCTTTACACCGGGAGGATGGATAGCCAGTTATCGGAAATGCTAAGAGGGTGGAGTCGGGAAGACTGGGCTAAACCTCTTATGCACCCTCTGACTAGAATTTCTTTAATTCTCACTTCCCAAAATGTCCTTTGCCTTTGGGAACTAGCATTTTGCTTTTGTTTCTTGTTTCAAGGAAATCTTATCAGGAGAGACAGAATGGAGGTCCAAAGGATAATATATAAGGAATTGTTTAAGATTTGTTAGACAAGCTAGTACATGTTAGTCATAAATATGTTAATACAACACACACACATACGCACAAACACACTATGAGGATGGGGCAGAGAGCAGACATTTCACGTACCCGGGGTCCTGTTTCCAGCCCTACCTTAACCCTATGCTGTAGTCGGCCCTCATCCCTCCCTCTGTATCTTCTCTCTCCTGTTGTCTGCACCTTCCCTTCCCCGTCCCTTCTTTCTAGCTCTGTGATCTTGGGGACTCATTTAACTACATGTGCTTAATCACGTGCTTTAGCTTCCTATCCTATAAAATAGAGATATTAGTGGCTCCTTGCAAATGCATTCTAAGTGTTAGAATGTATGTAAAATACCAACATGGGGTCTAGCAAGTGGAAGGCAGCTGTTTTTATTTTTCTTTCTTATGTTTATTCAGTAGATAAAGACTGTAACACTAGGTTGGATATATGCTAGGCTCACTTTTAGGAATACAAATATAGGACCTTCTCATCAGAAGCTCACAAAATACTCAGAAAGGCATTCTTTTCCTGCAGGGTGGGACATGGTGCTCAGGAGCAAACTTATCCCAGAACTCAGCTCAGATATCCAGATTCCTCATGAATCAATTTCTGTGATTCCATGTTCCTCTATTCGGGAAGCTATTGTTCCTTCTTTTGAACTTGCTGGAGGTGTGCTATCCAGTGATGTCACCGTGTATGTGGCTGCTGTGAGGTGTGGTTATTTCATTTGAGATGTGCTATAAGTGTAAAGCACACACCAGGCTTCGAACACTTAGTATACAAAATGTACAAATAGCTCATCAATAACGTTTTAATATTGGCTACACATAAAAATGATATTTTGGTTATATTGGGTTAAATGAAATATGAAATTATTTAATTACTAAAATAATGAGAAGCAATAAAAAGTAATCTTTTTATGCTTTTTTAAATTGAGTTATAGTCAGTTTACAATGTTGTATCAATTTCCAGTGTAAAGCACAATTTTTCAGTTATACATGAACATACATATATTCTTTGTCACATTTTTTTCACTGTGAGCTACCACAAGATCTTGTATATATTTCCCTGTGCTATACAGTATAATCTTGTTTATCTATTTTTATACTTTTTAATGTACTTACTGGAAAATTTGGAATCGCATGTGTAGCCCGCATTTTATTTCTCTCGGACGTGCTGTCCCAGTGCTTCACAGTGCCACTTCACGGCCACACCATTTTCTTCTCCCATCCCCCATGTGACACTCGAACATATTTGTCACAGGGATTATTTTCGCTTCTAAATTTTAAACTCCTCCAGGACACCGTTTACCGTTATTGTTGATGCTGCAGTTTGTTGTCATAGCGCCTAACATCATGTCTTCAATACATATTTGTTGAATGAATGGGTGGATGAATGGATGCATGGACGGATAGATGGACAGGAGCAATATTCTGAGGCCTGTGAATATAATGGGAACTTAATCTCCCAATGTCTTTGAGGCAGAAGGCAAGTTCAGTGGCTGCAAACTGTTGAAAAGTCAACTTATCTCACCAAGATGGTATTGTACCAATTACATAAGAAAAGAAGATCTAAGCACTAGGCTAAACAATGTGTCCTATGATGCTTCTGCCTCTGCATCTAGCCCTATGACCTTTGGTGATGACTAGTGTCTACCAGGGACAGTTCTCAGAGTTGCATAGATGTCTGAGTTTTGCAAATGACAGGTATCTGGCTGCTGCTCATTAGGCAAAGCCACAGAACCTCTAAGACACTGTCGTCCCTGAAAGGTAAGAGTCTAGAAGCGGGGAGAGCATCAGTCTCTAAGGATTCATCTCAGGACAGCTGGCAAACAGCACTCCTCCAGGAGCTGCACAGAATCAGCTCAACCTTAACAAAATATGAGTGGAGTCCAGTGAGTTGGATTTTCAAACAGGGTCATCTTGGTCTGACTCAGCACCTTAAACAAAGGAAATGAGAAAATAAAGGCAACTCTTGCCATGGATCCAATACTACAATCTTGACAAAATACCCCGTATAGGAGACTTGCCAATACGTTGCTACCATATGGCTGTGGCTGGGACTTTCTTATCACATTATCCAGAGATATTTCCCAGTGAAGAGCCTTAAGGACTTTGTGGTGGGCTGCAGCCAAAGTAGGTATTGTAAGAGATTTCACAGGAGCTCATACTCCCAAGTAGGTGGGGTGGGGAGTGAGTTAGAATGTTTTCATCCATTTGAGAATTTAGCAACTGGTATGTTGACTGCAGTGGGTTTGTTGGTAGCTGAATGGGCAGGGAGTATTGGGCAGAATTACTTGGAGACCTAAGAGTGACTTTTCCTGTCACAGTTTGGAAAATAATAATGAAAATGAAAATAATAGTTATTGAGTGTTTATTATGTGCTAGACATGTTGTGCAGTATTAAATCTGAACTGTTGCATTTATACATCACAGACAACCCAGTGAGATGGGTGGTGTGATGATCACCTTCTTAACCAAGGCTGAGGAAGTTTTTTACTTAACCAAAGGTCACATAGCTTACAACTGGTAGAGCTGGGATGCTAACGCAGGTCCTAAGGCTCTAATTCACATGATATACAGGATATCTTTGCAGATTTAGCTTCTGTTTTCCTTACCATAATGCAGTTTCTGGTTACTGCCATGAAGAGAGGAGAACATTCTGTTAGCCTCAAGTGCAAATGATGAATCCTTTACTGGTTATCTGCACTGTGCAGTCTAAAGTAGAGGGAAGCATGGTATGGTGGGAGATGCTTAGGGCCAGCCTGGAAACCTGGGTCTAGGCCAGGCTCTGCCAGCTTGCCACTTTTCTGAGCCTCTATTTCTTCATCTGTAGACTGTGAGGGCTAGGATATACTGAGTTTGCTGGTTTCATGTGCTGTTCTGCGTCTCCAGGTCTTGGAAACTTAGGAAAAGGAGAGATGTGAAGCAGTGGTCATTCCACCCCAGGTTCGTTGTGGACACTTGACAAGCTGAAGGTGAACATCTTTTCTAGAGCTAAACCTGCCTTGCAATGCTGCTATCTTGAGCTTGGTGCTGCCTCATAAAGTTGTAGACTAGGAGCTCAGAGCAGTCTCTGCCGTTTCTCTATAACTTGGCTACTTTTTGCAATCTACAGGGTATCTCTTAGTATCTTCCTGAAGGAACATTTTGAATTATTTTCTTTTGAAATATAATACATGAAAAAAATAAATACAATACTAAATGTGGTTATTGTTAGTCATTAAGGTTTTTTTCTACCAAAGTATAACTACAAATGGGCCAGTATGGCCTTAAAATTTTTTGAGATCATCTTTTATTCTGATTTCTGAAATCCGGTTTGGGAACACAAAGCAGAGTTTGACCTTTCTGAAGAATCATAAAGGTTTATGACTTTTCCTGTGGGGAATGCAGCCAGTATTACTTACAGCTCTGGGCCTGGAGAATGAAACTTGATAACAAGGATGTTAGGTGTGTAGACATAGTGAAATATTTATAGCCAAACCAAAACCAAAACAATCATTCAGTTCATCTAGAAAGGCATGGAAAGCAGGGGTTAAGACTTTTGGCTCTTGATTCAGATCGAATCATTCTAAATTCTAGTTCTGCCACGACTTAGTTGTAGCCTTAGTCAAGCCACCCATTCTATCAAAATGTCATTGTCGTCATCTTTATAAAACACGAATGATAATAATGGGGCTTATACCCATCAAGTTATTATGAGAATGAAATGGCTTGTGCATGTAAAACACCTAAGACCTTGCCCTGCACATTGCATGGCCTCAGTTAATGTTAGCTCCTTCTATTATTAGAAGACAGATAATCTACCATGTGTAACAAGTATCCTTTTTTGAATTCTAGATATCATAAAATAGTCTTTTACCATGGAGATCATTAGACAATAGATGAATGTCAGCAGAGAGGTAGTAAGAGCATTTCACCAGGGCCATTTTAGAGCCACATTAGCTAAAACCCTAGCGTAGATATAGAAATGGCAGTCATTTCTTAATCTTAGAGATAAACTGATTCATATAATGATTCATCTCTAATTTCCCTACAGCATTATGTGAAAATTATTTCACTTCTGCACATTGAATATTATTTGGTTCTTTGGATGTCAACTATTGATTCGTAGGAGACGAGGGGGTCAATAATAATAAATGTTTGAAGTTGTCATCTGTGCTGCTGTGGGGAGGATGGGAAGAGAGGGTCGGGGAGAGAGAGAGACAGAAAGACACAGAGACAGACACACGGCTTGCCTGACAGCACTCCGGGGTCCGTCTCTTTACTTGCCATTCACCAGAGCTTCCTATGAAAATGCCTCAGAGGATGGAGACACTCTTTCAACATGTCATCCCCACAGTAGGTCAGGTGCAAGATTTCATAACCATTGAATGCCCTGAAGTTACACACTGCCTTTGAATGCCCTGAAGTTACACACTGCCTTGTCACATTGAAGGCAAAACCTAGGTGGAAAATGCTATGTTTCCATTGCTAGCATCCAAACAGACTAGGGGAATTTGGTGTGATGGTACACACAGGTTTTGTTTCAAGGCAGCCTAAGAACTAGGCTTACTTAGATTCTTGCATGTACTCTTGCTGTGACTAGTGAAAGGCTTAAAGATGACAATGAAATTATTAGCTCATTAGCAAACATTTCATGAAAGGGAAAGCAGAACAGCAAGATCTCCCTGCTACTTAGGAATGTAGGTTAAAAAAATCCCTTTGTAGCATGTCTTCTGTCGAAGTGCTGCAGGCCAGGTACGTGTGTAAGGTGTTCTGTCGGATGATGAGCTTGATACATTGGTGTTGAAAGCATTTGAAAGCAATGATCCAGTGCGGAAATTTCAGAAACAATGATACTAGACATGACGTAAGAAGCAAAAGCAACCTGTGAAGTATCGGCTGGAAGTATCTGGAAATGTTTTAAGTACTTGGCTCTCTGGTATTATTGAAAACATGGCAATGAGGATGAATGGATCTCCCCTATCTAGTTGGCAGAGAATATTTATGCATACAGCTCAATCGCTTTGTGAAGTGATAGTATGGTAGCAAGTCACCTAATGACCTTGGAGACAATGAATATTAAAGCTATCACTATAATAATTATAAGTAACCAGAAGATACCACTGGTTAATTGTAACATGTGATACATGCAGCCTGGCTAAACAAGCTAGAAGAAGAGTAAACCAAAGTTTAAGATTCAGGCACTGTCCTGGTACTTTATAGACATTGTTACATTTAAGTGTAACATCAACCTTATTGAGTGGATATGATTATGATGATGGAATCATAATAGCTAATTTCCATGCAGGAGTTAACCTGTGTCAGATGTGTGTCCAGTGTATGACATAAATTATCTAATTTAGTTCTTACATTTGTCTAAGGTGTGTGAGATTAATAACAATTAGCTCCATTTTATAGATGAGTGAACTGAGGAATATTGATCAAAGTCTCTCAGCCAGGATTCAAACCCAGATCTTTCTCACTTTTAGAAGCACTGTGCATATAGGAGTAATGAAAATAAAATATAAAGAAATAATAAACAAAAAGAAAAACAAAAGGAAGAAGAAGAAGAAACAGCTATTGAGTGTTGACTGTGTACCAGGCACTGGGCTATATGTTTCATGTAGCATATCTCATGTAACCCTCATAATCCTACTGTATCTATTTATTGATGAGAAAATAGAGACTTAAGAACTTGCCCAGTTTTACACAACTAGTAAGGTGCAGACAGAGATTGTGAACTCAATGCAGCATGACTCTGGAACCTAAATTATTACCCTATTTGCCTGTAATAAAAATGGATAATCATAATTGTAGGACTGTTTTTTATTTTTAAAAAAGATAATGCTGCCCTATAATGGAAGGACAGTTACATGAATAAATGGGGGTTCATGGGCTAGAACTCTTTGGATTGTTTGAGGCATCCTTCTGTTTGAACCTGTCACCTGTGCCTCTTTTGTATAGGTTGATTTTATTTGTTTTATTTTCAGAACTCTTGATATGGTATCTCAATGAAATAGTACTTAACACACCATCCCCCACTTTGCCCGGAATTTCCTTAAAGTAGGCAAGCAGAGAGAGTTCTCATCATAGCCCCCAAAGTCTTAGCAGAGACTCTTGGTTTTAGCTGTGCTTGGCTTGACAAGAACAATGTGATTCTACTGATGCTGCAGACCAGATAAGAAGATATGCTAATCCCTTGCCCATTTTTTAATGATATTGTTTTCTATTGCATACAAGCATTCACATTAACATTTCTATGCTTTAAAGAATAAAAATCACTTTTTTGCAACTTACAAGATACCCCGACCAAAATAACTAAGCCATTCAGTTTTCTGATGAATCACATGTTAAAAATAGTTTTATTCTTATCACTTGACAGGTTATTATAGATTTTTTTTTAAAACAAAGAAAGAATCGGTGTTTATAAAGCTTTGGCCCCAAAGAACCATGACATGACATTAAGCATGGTAGCTGTGTCACTCTTGAGTGTATTTTTCTTCCTCCCATTAGAATAAAGATGAATTAGACCATAATCATGTTAAATCACATTAAACAGGCTTTTTTTTTCTTTTGGTCTTTTCTTTCTATAAAGAAATATCTCTTGTGCTACTCAGTCCATTTTTTGTCCCTTTTTTTCTGTGTTAGAGAAAATATTTCTGATTCAGAAGACTGCCCAGTGTCAAAGTTTATTTTTCCCTTGAATAATCACCAAATTGTCTTATTCCTGATTTTCTTTATTGGGACTTCATTTTGCCAAATCAGGGTTGTTAACCCATCTGGATGTTTTTGTCTTTGTAACCTGTCTAAGGAGTTATTTGAACAACAGAAAGAATGATAAATGACATGTAATTTAGAACCAGAGCTGAGAATTCCAAAGGAAAAAAAAAATTTCCTCAGAGAGTTTGGCTTGCAGTAAAACAGGATTGTCATGTTTTTAGTGTTGTCTGTTTTGTGTTGGAAAAAAAAATAGATCATCTTTTTTGTCCATACAGTCACCCTCTGGTATTATCTCCATCTGGCTGTCTCTACAGCCCTGGGCCTCTTAGCTCTGAGTAAGTGTGTACCAGCAGCTATTAATAGCAGAATCCTACAACAGTCTGCTGTCACAGATGGAATCTGAGCTTCTGAAGACTAAGACCATAAAAACTCATTACAAAGAAAGCAGTGCATTCTTTGGCACTTAATGCAATTAAGCTATCTATAAATAAGGAACATTTTTAAAGGAATATACTGATTCTGGTTTGTGTATTTGGTTATTGATTTGGTCCTTGATACGTAAGTTTTTCTTTTATGATGTTGTAAAGACCTGTGGTAGTAATCGAAACACTACATGTAAAATTGCAAGAGAATATCTTGTTTCAGAGAAAGGTGATGTTTAACTTGAGGGTATAATAGAAAATTCATCTCAACAAATAAAAGGGGGAAAAAACTTTGAACTAAAGAATATACATCATGGATCATAGAATCCACAGAGATATGCATGTCCCTCCAGGAGAGGTTGCTACTTAATCCCTTTAACTGTGACCATTGACCAGGACACCCACCATGAAAGAAAGCGCACGTGCACACGCGTGCGCGCACACACACACACACACACACACACACACACACTTTGTCTCTCTCCAAACATATCCATGGAAACTCCCAGTTCTTTTCCCCCTACACATATCAGAGACTGACAGAGATTGCTCCCTCTAAAGGAACTGTCTTAGTATCTCTAGTGAAGAGTGTAGGAAGAAGATGGAAAAAGGATTAAAATCTATTTCTGGACCCTCTTTCTCTGTGATCCCCTTGCTTCTCCAGTATTTACCAAGAGAATTAAGGGATTTATTAAATCAGATTAACTACTTGTGTCATCTGTTCCACACTCAGTAATAGCAGAGACGCAGCGAGGCTAGGAAAATGAAAACCCAATGCTGTGCATGGAATTGATTCTTTATCAGTACTTACTATAAATGAAAGGGAGAAATTTTCTATTTTCTCATTAGGTTAGAATGTAGGTTTTTTGAGGGAGGGGCCATATTGGTTTTGTTCACTTCTCTATCTCTAACATCTACTACAGTAAATATTATTGAATAAATACATAAATATATCAAGTTAAGATAGCTTATGTGCTCTTGAAAAGAGTGGATAGAAATTCCTTCTCAGCTCTGTGCTGAAACACAATTCCTCAAAATTTTATTGATATAAAACAATTAGAAAATAATGTATTCTCAGTGCCCTTTTCCCTTTTATTTCCATGTCAGTTTTTATGATCCATGCTGCCTTTTTTTTAATATGTAAGAAACAGAATTCCCAAACACAATTCCCAAGCATAAATCTCCTATGGTACTTTGAAAATGATTTCTCATGCCAAATAATATAAATTCATTTAGGAACACAGGTTAATCCAATTGAACTAGGTTTGAAATTTTCTACCAATAGCTGTTAGGTTAGGGGTGAGGATGTGTGCATTCAGTGTAGGATAATAATCCCTGTCAATTCAACTGGCTCATTTATTCATTCCTTCATTTTCCCCAACTATCACATAATCCCTATGATGTGCTTGGTACAGAGAATACAATAGTGTGACCAAAAAAAAAAAAAAGTAGCCCTGACTTCATGGATCTAATGAGGATCCATGAGAGGGTAGGGAGAAAGCAGGACTTGAACAAGCAATTTCACTGAAGTGTAGAAACTGCCAACGTGAGTTAAAATTGTTAGCATCTAATATGAATCAGTCTCCAGTTTCATTAAAGAAATAAGATATAAATGTGTCGATAATTATATTCTATTAATTAATATATGTTAAATTGCTATCTGAGAAAATGGAGAGATAGCCCAGGACAATAGATGATTTGTTGAGAAATGTGTAGTATATTTAGAAGTGATAGTAATTTAATTTCTCTGCATTTCTATGAAGTGGAACCATCTGTGAATACTCACAGAAGAAGGAGAATGTCAGCTGGGTCTTTAGGAATGGAAATGGTTTAAATATATGGAGATAGGATTGCACAATAATGTAACTGTTAGCATTGCTGAGTTTTGATTTCTAATGGAAAAAACAAAAACCACATCAAGTACATCTTATTTGAACCCCTTTATGATACAGCAAAATAAATTCTAATTGGTTTAGAGATGCTGAATTGGTCATTTGTAAGTCAGCACACTCGAGGTTCCAGGAATTTATTCCCTTTCTGATTTGTTGTGTCATGTAA